CAGGAATGTTTCTAGTTTCTCACCATTAAGTATGGTGTTAACTATACATTTTTTGTAGATGTTCATTATCCAGTTGAGTGTGTTATTCCCAATTCCTAATTTGCTAAGAGCTTTTTATAATGAATGAGTGTTGGAGTTTGTTGCATACATTTTTGTACCTATCAATATGATCATGTGATTTTTCTTCTTTAGCCTCTAGATGTGATAGATTGTATTACTTGATATTCTGATGTTGAAGCAGCATTGCATATTTGGAATATATCCTACTTGATCTTGGAATATAATTCTTTTTATATATTGCATTCTAATTACTAATATTTTGTTGAGGATTTTTACATCTATGTCCTGTGATACTGTTCAGTAGTTTTCTTGTAATGTCTATGTCTGATTTTGGTATTAGGTTAATGCTGGCCTTTTTGAGTGAACTGAGAAATAATCCCTTTTTTTCTATTTTATAAACGAAGTTGTAGGGAATTGGTATAATCTTTCCTTATATGTTTCATAGGATTCACCCAGAGAACCTCCCTGGATTTGGTGCTTTCATTTTTGGAAGGCTATTAATTGTTGATTCAATTTCATTAATAGATATAGGCCTATTTAGATTGTTTCTTTCTTCTTGTGTTTTGTCACATTGTATCTTTCAAAGAGATTCAGTTATCAAATCTATGGGCATACGATTATTCACAGTATTCTTTTATTATCCTTGAGCATCCACAGGATCTGTAGTGATGTTCCATCTTTCATTTACGGTGTTAGTAATTTTGTCATTTCTTGTTTTGATATTGTAACTAGAGGCTTATCACTTTTATTGAATTTTTAGGAAACTGATGTTTGGCTTTGTTGATTTTTCTTTATTTTTCTGTTTTCAATTTTACCTCATGCTACTTGAGGTTTCATTATTTCCCTTCTTGTTACTTCGGATTTACTTTTCTCTTTTTAAAAATTTCTAAAGACAGAGGCTTAGATGATTATTTTTTTTTAAGAAGAGGTTTTTGCCTCAGGACACACTCTCACCAGACAGAGACAGAGATAGTGAGAGGTAAAAAAATCAATCTCCAGAAGAGATGGCCATGCCACAATCCCTTCTCCTCCATTCTCTTCTTGGAATCTTGGGCATGCATATACGTGCACCTGGTGTGAATTTTAAGCCAACAAGTCTGGGAATTGAACCAAAGTCAGCCATGTGGGAATCCAGCAACTTAACTGCTACACCGTCTGCTGGCCCCAGATGATTAATTTTTTTTTTTTTTGGAGAGGTTTTTCCTATAGGGTGCATGTGCTTGCCAGAAAGACAGAGAGAGATAGAGAGATAGAAAGCTAGAAATCACTCCCCAGGGGGGATGGTCACGCCACAATCCTTTCTCCTCCATTC